TCCCAGAAGAGGCTGAAGTTGTACAAGAAATGCCAGAGACCGTCACAGTTTTGGAAGACAAAGATCACAAGAAGACCATTATCAAAAAACGTGTCATCAAGAAGAAGAAGGGTCCAAAACAAGAGATCACCGAAATTCAAACTGTTGAAAAGGAAGGTGAAGCTCCGGTCACTACAATCAGCACTGAGGAGATCGAACAACCTGAAGACTACTTCCCAGAAGAGGCTAAAATTGTACAAGAATTGCCAGAGACCGTCACAGTTTTGGAGGACAAAGATCACAAGAAGACCGTTATCAAGAAACGTGTCATCAAGAAGAAGATGGGTCCAAAACAAGAGATCATCGAAATTCAAACAGTCGAAAAGGAAGGTGAAGCTCCGGTCACTACAATCAGCACTGAAGAGATCGAACAACCTGAAGAATACTTCCCACAAGATGCTGAAGTTATGCAAGAAATGCCAGAGACCGTCACTGTTTTGGAAGACAAAGATCACAAGAAGACCGTTATCAAGAGACGTGTCACCAAGAAGAAAAAGGGTCCAAAACAAGAGATCACCGAAGTTGAAACTGTTGAAAAGGAAGATGAAGCTCCAGTCACTACTGTTACGGTTGAAGAAATTGAACAGCCTGATGAATCTTTTTCAAAACCAAGGAAGGAGAAATCAAAGAAAGTCGATATTCCAATGGGTCCACTCGATGAAGAGGCACAGGAAATTAATTTAGTTGTTGAGTCCAATGCACTTATTGAATTGTTAGGAAAATATAAACAGGTTGAGGTAACTTTACCTATTCCACAAATTGATGATAAACCGGATGATACTGAAAAGACAAGGAAGCCGAAGAAAAAGAAGAAGCTTGTTCCAAAGACCACTGAAGAAGTAGAGAGCCAAGTGATTATTGAGGAGTTGCCTGAGGAAACCATAACCGTTCAAATTCCAAAAGAGACAGGCGAAGTGGTTGAACAAAAGGTGACGAAACGTAAGATCAAGAAGAAACAAGGCGATAAGGAGCAAATAATCGAAGTTAAGACCGTTGAAGAAGAAGGAAAGGAACCCGAAAGAGAGATAACGGTCGAAGATGTTGAGCCGACTGAACCTTCGGTGGAGCATCCAAAGCCCAAGAGAAAGAAGAGCGTCAAAAAGGTGAAGAATGATGAATACGACGAATACATTCAAAGATTGATCGATCAAGAAATTCCAAAGACCGAGCTTGAAGACTTTGAGAAACCAGAGTTCGATGAAACCAAGAAGAAGAAACCGAAAAAGAAGCTTGTTCCAAAGACCAGTGAAGAAGTAGAGACTCCAAGCCAAGTGATTATTGAGGAGTTGCCTGAGGAAATCATAACCGTCCAAATTCCAAAAGAGACAGGCGAAGTGGTTGAACAAAAGGTGACGAAACGTAAGATCAAGAAGAAACAAGGCGATAAGGAGCAAATAATCGAAGTTAAGACCGTTGAAGAAGAAGGAAAGGAACCCGAAAGAGAGATAACGGTCGAAGATGTTGAGCCGACTGAACCATCGGTGGAGCATCCAAAGCCCAAGAGAAAGAAGAGCGTCAAAAAGGTGAAGAATGATGAATACGACGAATACATTCAAAGATTGATCGATCAAGAAATTCCAAAGACCGAGCTTGAAGATTTTGAGAAACCAGAGTTCGATGAAACCAAGAAGAAGAAACCGAAAAAGAAGCTTGTTCCAAAGACCAGTGAAGAAGTAGAGACGCCAAGCCAAGTGATTATTGAGGAGTTGCCTGAAGAAACAGTAACCGTCCAAATTCCAAAAGATACAGGCGAAGTGGTTGAACAAAAGGTAACGAAACGTAAGATCAAGAAGAAGAAGGGCAAGAAGGAGCAAATAATCGAAGTAACGACGGTCGAAGAAGAAGGTAAGGAACCTGAAACTGAAATCACTATTGAGGAAGTACAACCAATAGAACCAAGTAGTAAGGAGCCAATAGAGGAAGTTAAGTTCAAACCAAAGAAGATGAAGGTTATTAAAAAGATTGTAAAAGATAAAGAGGACGAATATGTTCAGAAACTTATTGATTCTGATGTGCCAGAAACGGAGTTCGAAGAATTGGATGCGGTTGAGAACAAAGATCTTAAGAAAAAGAAAAAGAAGAAGCCAAAGACATCAATCGCTACTTCCCAATCAATAGAAAGTCTTTCAATGGAAGAAGTGGCTGAATTTGATAAAGAAGCTGAAGAAATTAACGTGATAGCTGAATCCAACGTTCTCGTAAGAACACTGGCAAACTATAATAAAGTTGATGATATTCTTCCTTTGCCAGTTCATAAAGATGAACCAGAGATTATGGAGCCAAGCATAGAAAATGTGGACAAGAAAAAAGTCAAACGAAAGATTGTAAAGAAAGCAAGAGTTAAAGGAGACAAGGATATCAGTGAATTGGAACAGTCAGAAGGTACAGATATCACTGAATTGCAACAGCCTTTGAAACCACAGGAAGTAATCGAATTAGCACCAATGCCAATTGAAAGGAAACAACAGAAGCCAACCAAAGTCAACGTTTGTACTGTTGAAGATCTTCCAAAAGTGTTAGCCAAACTACGGAAATCAAAGAAAGAAGTGAAACCGGTTGAAGAAGTGGCCCCGATAAAGTTCCGTTTGAAGAGCCGAATCACGTTGGTAAGTTATCCACCTGAAATAACAATGCCCAAAATTACGAACATAAAAACAGTTCGTGGAAAGGGGGAACTGTCTCGGAATATAGAAGAAGCAATGAAAGTACTAAAACGTCGCAAGATTAAGAAGTTTAAACCTTCTGAACTTGAAAGCGATAGTTTGGAAAAGGTTGAATCTAAACTTTCTGAAAGCAGTGAAGAACACGAAGAACTTTCACCGGAAACTAAAGAAAAATATCAACGTCAACTAAAAGAGGGAATTACTGATGATACTCAGAAAGGTCCACTAAAACTTGGAAAAGGAAAACATAAACCTCAAGTGGATGAAACACCAGAACAAGTTAAATTGGAACCAATACCGAAAAAAGACAAGAAACCAGAGGAAGAAGTTGAAATCGAAACAAAAATGGGCCAAGCCAAAATTATACCAAGTGATGAACAAACAATTGACACCAGTTATACTTTGGAACCACTTGAACCATTCGATTCTGCACCATTTGATCGGGAGTTGGATGAATATGAAAAACCAACTGACATCCCAAGTGACGTAAGTGACAAAGATGCCCTCAAACCAAAACACAAGCGAAAGAAAAAGAAGGCACCTGAACAAGAAGAAAAAGAACGTGAAATAGTTAAAGGTGTTCCAAAATCAGAAGAAATATCAAGTGAAGACGATACAAAATTGGGTTACAAACAAAAGCCGTTGCCAGACATAATCACAGAGGATGTGGTGCTCAAGCCCTTCGATAAACCAGCTGAAGAATTAGAGCCTGACGAGAAAAATAAATCAAAACTCAAGCCGAAAAAGAAAACGATCAAAACGAAAGATTATCCAGATGAAGAACATCCACAAGACGCTTTATTCGACGATGATTCACCAATAATTAATATTTCTGAATTGCCAGAAGACACAGAACACGAATACACAGACACAACACACAAAATTCACCCACCACACTTTGAGCAAATAACACAGATTGATGAACCCGGTAAGCAAATAAAGACAATCTTTGTAGGCCATCGACAAAAAATTGAAACGCAATTTTTCTCTTCAAAAACTGTAAGAAATTTTCGGGTTTCAATATTTCGATTACCCCTTGTATGGTATATTAAATCATCTGAATATTGTAATTAAGCATGGAATTTCGAAGTTCCATTCCATTTTTCTTTATGTTTAATAATCCTTTATTACATTCAAATCTGTCTCTGTCTTTCTATTTTTCAATGCAAGCTCTCAATTTCATTTAACGTTCGAAAGGAGTATACAGTATCAAAAATTAAGGCACATTTTTATATTTTCTTTTGGTCTCAAAATGCTATCTCTTTTCAAATTTAAATTGAATTGTGAAACACAAGAGGATGACATAAATAATATGATTTGTGGTACGTTCATCGGATTCGCTAATTTCAATTCGTGACGCCACCAGTACGAAAATTGATAATTATAGGCACAATTATGTTATCCTCTTGGCAAAAAATCCTTGGAATGATGCGAGATAATATTAAACTTTTCTGTTTCGATCTTTACAAATCTATTTCAATCAGCATGAAATCTCTTCATTATTTCGTCAATGGCTACAAAGAGACATTTACAAAGGATTCTTTAAAACAATTATATATATTTATCAATTATCATATATGTTACGATAATCATGATTAAAATCACTTTTTTGTTTGAAATGCACAAACATTTGAATTTTAAATGTGAATATTACATATTAAATGTGCATAAAAAAAGTGCACAAACAAAAAGTAATTTGTAAATAATTTCCACAATTGTTTGTACACTAAAACAAATTTATAATATTTGCTTTTGATGCTCACGAAAACAGAAACGAGTGATCAAAAATCGACGGTATTTGTGACAAGATTTGAATCTTCGGCTGACGGAATTAAGTCAACAACATCGAAGATTGCTGACGTAGAAGGAGTTTTGATTGAAGAAGTTTTGAGTGAACCCGAACAAGAGAAAGTTGTACAACAAGGTGATGTTTTCATCGAAGAAGTTAGAGACACAGAAGGTAAGCACCTTTATCATGAATTTTGTTTGAATATCGCCATTTTTTAAGCAAGATTACAACATAAAGTCGTGTTACATAACAACAACTCAACAATTATTATCAGTTGCAATTTACAAAAAAAATACTATCGTTGCTTTATGCTATTCTAATCAAATGCTTCAAAATATTAGCAAAATTGCATACCAAGATCCAAGCTAGATAAAGAGCACAGTGAGTAAATGCACATAGAATTTTTTTCTCAAATGGGATAAAATGGATAATAATTTCAACAACACTTATTATTTATGACTTTACTTTTTAAATGAATTTATCAATTTGCTTTATGCTTATAGTACGAGAATGCAATACACAACGTTATTTTGCTTTCGAAAATCAAAAGCTTATTTTAAAGAAACTACCAATGTATCGTAAGTTATTCAGTTATAGGCAAGGCCCTTTAAAATGAATCCAGGTTAATAAACATATATTAAAATCGAAAAAGCTTTAACGTTGCTATAATAAAATTAAAATTGAAAAACATACGCAGAAAATTAACGTGTGGTTTAAAAAGATCTACTCACTCACAGTTACACAAGCAAACTTATCAACAAAACTAATCGCATATACTCAGATTTTACAAAAACACACCTCAACACTTTATACTATTCCCCTGTAGACACACAAACAACACAAGACAGAAGAAAGAAAAAACATAAAAAACCAAAACCACAAGAAGCACAATTTGATCTTGTAGATGAACAAATGCCAATAATAGAACTTCCAGAAGAAAATACAGTTGAAGAAATACTAAGTCCAAGCGGAGAGACAAAAGTTCAACGTACGAAAAAACGAACGATCAAAAAGAAGAAAGGTGATAAACAAGAGACCATTGAAATTATAACGATTGATGAAGATGAAAAAGATGCAGTCACATCTATTGTAATTAATGAAATTGAATTGAGCCCAGAAAGCACATGGCCAGATAAAGAAGACGCTGATCGGGCTGTAGTTATTGTAGAATTACCAGAAGAAGAAACAACTATAACAGAAACTACAGACGATAAACAAAAAACAGTGAAAAAACGAACACTTAAAAAGAAAGTGGGAAAGGCACACGAAACAACTGAAATCATCACAATTTTGGAAGACAAAACGCCAATTCATACTGAAGTGGTTGTAACTTTGTCGGACATCGAAATGGAAGAGGCATCAGACTATGAATCAGAAATTAGAGATCTAGGGATGGCAGATGAATCTCAAGTACCTGCAGATGAACCAACGGAAGAGGTTATGGTCACCGAATACAAACGAAAGGGAAAGAAAAAGAAAGAAAAAAAGAAGAAAGGAAAGACAGTTTCAGAGCAATCAGAAGAAGAAGAAATAGTAGAAGAGCTGGACACAGAAATTGAAAAACAAAAGGCCATAATGGTTGAAGAATTGCCTGAAGAAGTCACAGTCACCGAAATCGAAACGCACGAAGGGCCCAAAAAACAAGTCACTAAGAAGCGTACCATTAAGAAGAAGGTCGGTGA